AAAAAATCTTCGGTCTGTCCAATGATTGTAAAGTCATTAGGTCCGTCAGACTTAAGACATTTTAGCGGTAATGAGACCAAAAATATTTAAGACCCGTCGAATCCGAATTTAAGACTTTTTAAGACTTTTTAAGGACCCGCGGACACCTTGTATATAATAGCAATGAGGCAATAATAATGAGTTCAAATAAAGGATCAAAAGCAAGAAATCATATAGTTTTATTGAACAAAACTAAAATACTGTATTGTAACGTACCGTAATAGAGCCACTGATCTATATATAATTATAAAATAATACAATATAATCTCTATTATAGATCAGTGAACAGAGCTAATGTACAGTACGCATTACAACAAAGGCCTGCAGAAGGTGCCAACGACCTGACGATTGTTTTTACACATTGCTGTGCGATCTAATACTTGTTTAATATTTACCAAGCATCATTTAATTCAAATGTCCACTTAATCTTTCATACTTGGCCATTTCTTTATGACAGAAATGCTATAGCCACTGTAATTAAATGAATATGTGGACATCAAAACGTGTAAACTCAAGAGTGAGGGTTCGAGCTTTTATTTTGAAACCGCGAGATAATGATGTATTCTCCTGTGTTTGCGTGGATTTATAAATGATTTACCTTACAAATCTGATGAAATGGCACACGTTGCGTTCCCAGATGAACGTTATAATAAACCCAAATTCACAACAACATGCAGAGATGGAGTTTGAGACGCTCCACACGTGTAAATGATAACAGTTCCTGTGGAGCAGCATTTACTGTGAACGGAGCCGCTGTGAGATGCACGTATGTAACCTACACGCCTATAAATATAACAAAGAGTGAAAAATTTAAGGGGGTCTGAATACTTTCCGTACCCACTGTATAATTATTTAATTAAATCGCAGCATTTGTGAATTCACAATAATGCTTAATTATGATTTTTAAACGGGCTTAATATATCATGCAGCCTTGGAAAACGGTCTAATAATGTTTTATGGATTCTCGTCCATGAAATGCGGCACTTCCGGTATTTTGCCGGTTAGTCGACGCAGGCAATATGAAGTCTATGATTTTTTTAAATCGAATAGTCGAATAGAATCGACAAATCGCGACAGCCCTTGTGTGTATATATATATATATATATATATATACATACCTGTTCGATTTAATTGTTTTGATGACTACACTATTATTCTAAATTGTGTTAATAAGTGTATGTTCAAACATGTGACTGGCAGTGTATTTCAAATCAAAGCAGACAGACTCACCCATTTGTTAGGATGATTAACTTTAGCTCCATGTGTGGCCAAGAAGATAGCGGCTGCTTCACTTCCTGTGATAGCTGCTTTCTGCATGAGGCAGTTACCTGAGGAAGAGATGTTGTGATTAACAGGTGCGAAAGGAGTAATGACTAAACAGACACAGATAAACTTTTTATAAGGTGCAAAATGTGTGGTACCGTTGGCGTCTGGTGCATCAGGATTGCTCCCTCTCTGTATGAGCCATGCTGCCAAACTGTTCTCGTCAAATGAGGTTCCATTCACAACAGGAGCTTCATCTTCAAAAGGGTTGACGGAGGGGTCAGAGGCCACAGTGATGTACTGCAGAGCCAGCCACAGTGCAGTGCTGCCTTCATGGTCTTTCAGCTCCAGGTCCAAACTACGCATGAAGTGGAAGAATTGCAGTGTTACACAAGGGAAACAGGAAAAGGACACCGTTACACCAAGTGGTAGAGGCAACTTTCTCTATTTTCGAAATTCTAGCATACTAAACAGTATACACTTTTTCATACTCTGTATTTTTATTAACAGACACATGAAGAATACATAATTAAAGTTTTAATCCAACTCTTGGCAGGTCAAGTCAAGATAAAGATTACAAATCACATTTTGATATTACATCCCATTGCTTTATCACAATGGAAGGTCATATAATGCATTATGGGATATATAATCCACACAGTACTCTGTTGTATTTGTACACTTTAAAACAAGTTTTACATAATTTTGCGTATTACATGCATACAGATATTTCACATACTGCTAAAACAGTACAAGTAGTATACCATTTTATTAACTACAAAATTAATTTCAGATCATTTGTTTTGAAAAGGACAACCATGTTTAAGCTTACTGTTTGCATTGCAGCAGCTGGTTAAAGACCGGCTCATTTCCTGACACCACAGCCTCATGCAATGGCGTCCTAAGAATTAGACAATAAAAATAACCGAGACATGAAAACAATGAATAAGTTGTACTGCCATAAACATAGTCATTATGCCGAAGAAACCCTTGATTAACTGTTACACACCGTCCTTTGCTGTTTTGCATGTTTGGGTTGGCACCAGCTTTGAGCAGAGCTTCAGCGATGTGGGCCATGCCAGCCATAACTTCACCACTGTGTTTTTTAGGGCTGAAAGAGCAGACCAGGTGCAGAGGCGTCTCCACTGACCCCACTGTGGCAGCGTTCACCTGTGCGGAGTGACGGATCAGAAAAGTGGAGGCAAACTCATCTCCTAAAAAGACAGGGAGAGAAAAACACACAAGACGGAGCGAGTCCTTAGACCACCAAAAGGAAAAAAAATTCTCAATGTTCTTGATGCAGCAGTCTTTTGTAAGTGAAGGTGGCTTTGTGCCAACTTCAAATTCATTGTAAATGTGCCCCATTCCATTTTTCCCTCTGGCCAAATACAAGCACTTGTCACCTCTCTGGATGGCCTTGTGTAGAAGACTCCAGCCGCTCTGGTCCACCATGTCTACATCTGCCTTGTTGTTGACCAGTGTGGTGGCGATGCTCTCCAGCTTCTTGGACAGAGCCAGATCCAGTGCCAAGTCTCCATTATTGTCCAGCTCATTCAGCTTTCCAGGTAACTTGGGAATGAAATAAAAGAAATATGGTAACACTTTATTTTAAGGACTAATTCTCACTGTTAACTAGCATATTGGCTGTTTGGTAGTACTTGCAAACCACATATTTATGCCTTATTCTGCATGACCATATTTTAGATCCCTTAATGCTACTCCATACCTAAACTTAACAACTACCTTACTAACTGTTAATAAGCAGCAAATTAGGAGTTTATTGAGGCAAAAGTCATAGTCAATAGTTAGTTAATAGTGAGAATTGGACCTTAAAATAAAGTCTGTCCAGAAACATTTATCCTAATGACTTTGCCATGCAATAAACAAGCTTATTAGTAGAGAATCATACATTTATTAGTGGAGAAAATGCGACTAAATCCAGCAGAGTATGTTGTAATAATATAAATAATAAATAGATACATTTTGCTTAGTAATTTCGCATATTGTTGGGCTTACGCATCTAATTAAAATAATTAGCAATATTACTAATTATTTTATACTAGATTATTTAAAGGGGTCATCGGATGCAAAATTCACTTTTGCGTTGAACATAAAGTGAAGTGACATGTGGCCAAGTATGGTGACCCATACTCGGAATTAGTGCTCTGCATTTACCCATCCAAAGTGCACACACACAGCAGTGAACACACACCCGGAGCAGTGGGCAGCCATTTATGCTGCGGCGCCCGGGGAGCAGTTGGGGATTCGGTGCCTTGCTCAAGGGCACCTTGTCGTGGTATTGAAGGGGGGAGAGACATTCCCCCCCCCCCCCTACAATCCCTGCCGGTACAAGACTCGAACCCACAACCTTTGGGTTATGAGTCCAACTCTCTAACCATTAGGCCACGACTTCCCCATAAATGTGTGTTGGAAGTGTGTGTAAACATCCATCCTATAATGATAAAAATCCACCCAGTGTTTTTTTTTTTAAATCCCTATTTTAAAATCCCCTTTCTCAAATCAGGCTCAATTCCTGTCAGAATGACGTAGTTCTGCCCAGGTGTCCCACGATAGTTGATTGACAAGTCTGTCTTACCTTAAAGGGTTAGTTCACCCAAAAATTTAAATTAGCCCATAAATTTCTCACCCTCAAGTCATCCTAGGTGTATATGAATTTCTTCTTTCAGACGAATCCAGTCGGAGTTATATAAAAAATTGTCTTTGATCTTTCAAGCTGTTTCATGGCACTCAGCGGGTGTTGCATGCATCAGTCCAAAAGCAGTTAAACAAAAAGCACCCTTCCATAAAAAAGTGTCTCACACGGCTCCGGGGGGTGTACTGTTGTACACGGAAGCAGCTCCGGGGGAATGACGTATGAGGTCGGCTTTGCGCATGCGCCACTCAGAAGTGGCAAATGCAGAAATGCAGCGGAGAGATCAAAACCTTTGCTCCTGTTAACAAACGTTGGTTTTCACGAGACTCACCAGCGCATGCGCAGCGCTGACCTCATAGGTCATTCCCCCGGAACTGCTTCCGTGTACAACAGTGAGCGCAAGCTACATTAAAGTGATTATTAAGTTTTGAATATGGATATTTTTCTTACAAAAACGCATCAATTCGCTACAGAAGGCCTTTGTTCACCCCCCGGAGCCGTGCGAGACACTTTTTTTTATGGATGGGTGCATTTTATTTAACTGCTTTTGGACTGATGCATGCAACACCTGCTAAGTGGCATTAAACAGCTTGAAAGATCAAATACATTTTTTTATATAACTCCGACTGGATTCGTCTGAAAGAAGAGTCATATACACCTAGGATGACTTGAGGGTGAGTAATTTATGAGCTAATTTTCATTTTTTGGTGAACTAAACTTTTAAGACCTGCCCTGAGTGAGCTGTGAGCTGTCCGCCACTGTGTCGACTCCGGTGCAGGGGAAGACAAGAATGTCTCCAATTAAGCGATCGTGGTGTATTGTTGCTGGATGTAATAATGAACATAGCAGTCGTCATTTACTCCCGACATCTGAGCCGCTGAAGACGCAGAGGAATGTTAAAAGGAATGCGCCGATCCCCGATCTGCCTAAATGCATTTAAGTTCACGCGAATATAAGTTTTTTTTTTATGAAGCCTTGGCCTCTCTCATCTTTTTAAGTGGGAGAACTTGCACAATTGGTGGCTGACTAAATACTTTTTTCCCCCACTGTATGTGCTAGTTAGCAAGTTTACAGTCTGCACGTCACCCCACAGAAGAGAGGGGCGGAGTCAGCAGAGCTCATTAGCATTTAAAGCAACATGGACTAGAACGGCGTGCTGAAAACAGAGCTGATTTTGACAGGGTAAAAAAGGTGTTTTTACACTACCATTGAGTAATTTTAACTAACTTTTTTTAACTTTTCATTAAGACCCTAAATGAATCATATCAACTTGTGGAAAATGGGCATCCGATGACCCCTTTAAACATCATGTTGGGTGACCACTAGTTATCCAACCTGAAGTAAAACATCAACCATACCAAAAACATCAACTGATATGATTTATTTTCAATCACTGTATATACAGCAGTAACACATCTTTGATTCAGTGCTGGCTTTTTACCTGGGCATCCATCTCTATTAGATAAAGGAAGACCACATCTTCTCGTTCTACTTTAATTGCTTTGTGAAGGGGGTACTCGGTCTTGGATTTGATCATCTTATAGAGCAGCTGAGCATCCATGGTACTGAAGTCCTCTTTCCGAAGATCATCCTGTTTGAGAGAGTAAAGAAGTAAATATTAAACATAGTTATACATCTATTGGTTAGGAAACCCTCCATTCTACATTGATACACACTCAAAAATGATAAAAAAATAAATAAAATCATTGCATAATAGGGGTGGAACGATACATGTATTCGTACAGAACCATCACGGTACGGACATCTCGGTTCGGTGAATGAGACCTTACAACGAATACAGGCAATTTACCCCAATCCAGAACGGGGCGCCTGCAGCAATGCAACACTGTTTGATAACCGGCTGCCAGCAGAAGAACAGCGAATGCCATGAGTTGCACACTTGAAAACAAAGCCCACTAGACAGAGACCATGAGCTGACTCTGAATGCATCTCTCACACAGACCGACAAAGGAGTATACTTTAAAGGCTTGTGCACTCAACTGTTTGCAAAATGGAGCTTTGTGCTCGTGTATCCTACCTTTCTCATTCGGCACAAATCCAAATATACCATAATATTTCCATATTTGCGATGTAACGTATCTGAATGCTAAACTATTATTTATTATGTAAATTATAGGCTTTGTACTTCAGTTCCAACGGTGACACAGAGGCGTGCGCGCTGATGTTTGATTCACTGTATTTTTATTTTGATAAAGTATCAACTGCGCTGTCAAGTTAGCAATGCTGGAACTGATGTGTTTTTGTGTGTGTCTGTGTGTGTGTGTGTGTGTGTGTGTGTGTGTGTGTGTGTGTGTGTGTGTGCGTGCGTATGCGCCAGCGCGATCACTTCAACTGTTTTCTTATATCAGCAGAATCAACTTTAAACACTTATTGTCTTATTAATAATGCATCACTGTATAAAGGTCTGCTTTTATTTGTGTACACTCACAATGAATACAAAACATTGTGCTTTTGTAAAATAAAGAAAACAAATAGGATGTCGCTTTATGCCATTTGAGTTTCCTTTCTGTGAACAAATTAAGCCCGTCACAAAAATGAACTGAAACTCAGCGTATATAGGCTACGTTACGTGTCGCATTGTTTTTTTCCCTTGTTAGTCTGTAAACTAAATCTAACTAAGAATTTATTCCTTGTATGTATATATGTACTGCAGATTTGATATATATAACATAACGTAACAATATTTAGTATTTTCACATCTAGGTGGAAAAACTTTTAATTTGTACTACTGTCTGTTCAAAATAAATGAAAAGAAACCGAGCATAGTAGATTTTTTCCCCCTCCCCTGTTGTACTGAAATCGTATCAAACCGTGACCCCCGAACCAAGGTACGTAACGAACCGTGACATCTGTGTACCGTTCCACCCCTATTGCACAATGATTTCCTCCTTTAAAACAGCAGGTGACTTCTTTTAATAATTATGCAAATCTCAATCTCCCTCTGGTCTATATCAAGGTCTTGTTGAAGGTCTGCTAAGCCCATATTGATGTGTTTGCTTTCACTCAGCGGAGAGAGCGTCTGTAAACCCACCACAAGGTTTCCTTTATCATCCCGGTCATAAACATAACCTTGAGAATAGGGCTGAACGATTAATTGCATTTGCGATAATATCGCGATATGAAAAAACAAGATTTTTCACTGGATGCGACAAAACGACCGTTGCAAATCATTTTAACTTTGTGTCAGTACGTCATAAATAGAACAAGGCATCAGTTTAATGGCAGGGTTTTTCATGTCGTGCCCTATACAGTCTATGGTCGCACCGCGCCGCATCCAGTGTACACAGCGTCACTGAATATAGTGGTATTTTGCCGCTCGCGTCTGGTGTAGACACGGTGTTTAATGTCGTTGGTGAGGAGGAAAGCCTGTATCCTATGCCTTACCAGACAGCATGAAACCCACAAAAAAAATAAAAATAACAGAGAGAATAATAATAATAACAGTTATTCTCTCTATGCTATTTTTCAATGTTTCAAGTGATGCAGGTGTTTTTTTTCCCTGTAGATTTTTTAAATTAAAAAAAGCATTAATTTTTTCATAATGTTTAGTGAAATTATTTGGTAGTCTGAGGTGGAATGGAGATTCGGGAAAGGGGGGGAGCCAGATTTTTTTTATAGGTTTAAAGGGGGGCGATACCAAAAAAGTTTGAGAACCACTGGTCTAAAGTTAACAGACAGTGTTTAAAAAGTGCAGCGCACATGTTTACATATGTTTATTACAGTGACTGTGAATTACCTAAAGTAGTGTGGTAAAGCAACAGATTTGTTTTTATATTTCTGCAATCTACTTTAGTTTGTATGATTTGTTACTGACTTTCATATTAATGTTTACACCAGGCTTATTTGTGCTTATTTGTCAGTGCTTTATGTTGTCATAATTATTACATGCTTACAAGGTTAGAAGTTCAACAAATCAGTCAATATACTGTGATTGTAGTTGTTAAATAAAAATGTCATTCATATCAATTCATGACCTGGCCTACAGAAAAGAACATTTATGTTTAATCTATCTAATAGTGTGTTGGTCATACTATACAATGATTTATAGCTCGTCTTTGTTGAATAATACAGAACATAAAAAGCTTTAAAAAATATTTGCATATTAAATCGCAATTGCAATATTGGTAAAAAAAATATTGCAATTAAGATTATTTTCCAAAATCGTTCAGCCCTACTTGAGAATCAATCTTTACGCCTCGTGGGGATTTACAAGGAGTCATCAAGGAGACTCCAAACATCAAGGAGAACCAGAAGACCCTGCTGCTTTTAAACAAGAGAGAATGAAATGGAGGAAGGCTATTTTTCACAGTGAATCTGTCAACTGATGAGTCTTTCAAGGACGAGGATGATGACTCTATTCTTCTGACTCACCCAGTGACTGGCAATGATTTCTCCACAATAGTTCATCAATGTTGTGGCGTCCAGCTCTTCAGCTGTCTGGTAGAATCTGATACAGTTCCTCACGTTCACTGATGACATCACTCCTTTCTCACATCTGCATTTGAAAAACAATTTATGTGTTTAGAGCTCACTGCTTATTCTTTAACATTAACAATTACATTTTGAAAATTTCAAATTATTTTATAAAAAGGATGACATTAAATTATTACATGACCTCAGACCATATACTTAATTTATATACAGTGGTGTGAAAAAGTGTTGGCCCCCCCTCCTGATTTCTTATTTTTTTGCATGTTTGTCACACTTTAATATTTCAGATCATCAAACAAATTTAAATAATAGTAAACGATAACACAAGTGAACACAACATGCAGTTTTTAAATGAATGTTTTTATTATTAAGGGAAAACAAAATCCAAAACTACATGGCCCTGTGTGAAAAAGTGTTTGCCCCCTAAACCTAATAACTGGATGGGCCACCCTTAGCAGCAACAACTGCAATCAAGTGTTTGCAATAACTTGCAATGAGTCTGTTACAGCGCTGTGGAGGAGTTTTGGTCCACTCATCTATGCAGAATTGCTGCATGTTGTGTTTACTTGTGTTATCTTTGACTAATTTTTACATTTGTTTGATGATCTGAAACATTAAAGTGTGACAAACATGCAAAAAAATAAGTAATCAGGAAGGGGGCCAACACTTTTTCACACCACTGTAGGTTAATATTAGTGCTGTCAAACGATTAATCGCGATTAATCATGTTCAAAATAAAAGTTTTTGTTTACAGAATATATGTGTGTGTGTACCGTGTATATTTATTATGCATATATAAATACACACATATGCATGTATATATTTAAGAAAAATATGTTATGTTTATATATTATAGGGCTGTGCAAATAATCGAATGCGATTTTCATGCGCATCTCGTCAGTAAAGCCGGTTCTGTGATTAGTAGTAAATCTCATTTAAAAGTTTAGTGCAGAAGTATCGAATCGGTATCGATATCGACGATACTGCCTTGAAAAATATCGGTATCGTATCGAAAACAAAATAAGGGGTATCGCCCATCCCTAGTGAAAGCACAATGAGTCTGTGCTGCTTCTGCACCGCATACGTAACGCACTCGGACCGCATACGCACTGTGTGTGAAACAGGCGTAAGCGTGAAAATTCCGAAACTGAAGCTGTAGAACTAATAGAACGTGATGACACAGAAGAACTCATCCACAATATCCACATTGACCGCCACAAATATCCACCGCCCCCTGCCATCAGCTCCCGCGTCTCACACACACACGAGCGCGACTTTAGCACTAGATTTAGCAATTTTCAGACCCTTTTAGCACTTTTTTCCATAGAATATTCATACTGACAAACCTAGCGACTTTTTTTGTATAAACCTTAGCTATGGTTCAGTTGAAGGATTTTGCCAGTGCTGTCCCGCGAACGCGAGGTCTGACTTTCCCTGAGAAGTGTCACCTCTCTCTGCATCTGTTCTGTGCAGTGAGCAGCAGTGAAGCAACGCAGCCGACTCGTCAATAAATGAGTACAAAACAGCGTTTCCTAACACCTGACGCTTACTGATTGTTTGGAATTATAAATATGAGCGTAGTTCGTCTGTTAATATCATATGCACTTTTTTGTTTGTTGTTTTTTTTAGTTTGTTACTCAGACGCAGGCAGTGCGCTGCATGAGACAAAAAAGTAATATAGCCAAAACAACCGCATAGCTGCTCTTTAGTGTAGATGCATGTTGATATTATCAGACGATGCCGCGATTATAATTGAAAGTGACTCCTGGTTAACATGTATTAAAAGGGGTCGTGTTTAGTCACTATTTAGTGTGGTATTTTTTGACAATATTCACTCATCACGACAGTAAAATAGGGCATTCTAAGTCAATATACTGCAGTATTTCCTCTCAATCAGAAGAAAATATGGTTAACACCCGGTCATGCATGAAAAAAAAAATAGCGTCATGTACCGTGAAACCGGTATAATTTTGAAAAATACCGTGAAATAAATTTTTGGTCATACCGTCCAGCACTAATATATATATATATGCTAACATTCAGAAGTTTGGGGTCAGTAAGATTTTATTTTAAGAAATTAATATATTTATTCAGCAAATTAAATTGATCAAAAGTGACAGCAAAAACATGCATAATGTTACTAAAATGTTTCAAAGAAAGTTGTTCTATAGTCCCAGTACTCAAGAATAAAAGTTGATCATTAGCATTATAGCACAAAACATATAGGCTGTCTGCTTTCCATTTAGTAACTTCTTTTATCCAAAGTGACTTAAAGAATACCTACTGATGGGAGAGGATTACGTACTTGATTCAAGGGCACTTTGATGATGGGGGCATCACTGCAACTCTCCAGTTTATCTATAAGCCTCTTTCAGGTAAATGCCAGGTAAAAGAGCACAAGCTTTCAGGGAGATGTCTATTTAATTTGATGAGTATGACTCAGTGATGGACCAGAGTGACTAAAAATGATGGCGTGATGCATATGCAAACGCTTCATTAATCAAGTGTAAGATTCATCACCAAAAGCCTTTGTGTTTCACATCAATCCATGCTAAGGGGTGCTTTATATACTTGTAGTTGATATTCTTAAATGCTGAGTGATTGATAACAGCAGTTACATGGTAACATTTTTGCTGGTGAATCACAATGAGATGTAAAGAAAGACGCATCTATCCAGTCAATTGTATCTGTTATTCTAAAGACACCGTTCCCACCTTTCTCGCAGAAGATGGAGCTGGAAGCGGTTGGCCAGCTTCATCAGGTTGATGAGGAAGCCATCGTCTCCACTCAACTCCAGATCATCCGTGTACGCCCAGCGCAGCATTGCCATGGCAACCTCTGGTTTGGCATCTAGGAAGTCACATGGGGAAGCACAGGAAAGAATCCAACAACAGGTTCAGTTTTGAGGGATCTGATGCTGTTGCGTACTGCATTGACATTCATTTCAAGAGCAGGTTGTAGGAAACAGAGAAGCCATTGCTACCTGAGAGGTCCAGTTCTGAGGTGGAGGCCAGGTTGGCTAAGCTCCAGATTTCACTCCGAGAAGCCAGCACGAATTTATGAGCACTGAGCCTCTGCTCTCCAATCTTCACATTCAGATCACTAGGAGAAAAAAAAACACTGATCTTGTCATACTGACTTTACACAGCATTCCTGTGAAATATGCCAAATTTGATGCATTATAGCTAATGTATTATGCAATGGTCTCAGTGAGGTCAGATCTGAGACAACAGTCTGGGCTCAAATCTCAGACGGAACATTCTGTAACCTCATAAGAACATGGTGCAATATGAAGAAATACAACTGTAATACAACTTCCTAACTTTACAGACCCAGCAGACATATTAAAACCCTTTCAGCCAGCTTTAAAGCACTTAGAAGCAAAACGAAACTGCAAATCAATATTTTTAATACCCGAGTGGCAGCAAATATTCAAATCAAGACAAAGTCACAGACAAACAGAAGTATTTCAATAGCTGTGTGAATCTTATAAAAACGGACAAAAGTTGAACAAAAATGTCTAGGTCATATTTCACCACAAAAACCAAAGACAAAATAATATTTTGCATTTAATAAAGCTTGTCTTTAAGAATAGAAAAGCTAAAGATAAACACCCCTCAAATTTTCATTACCGCTACACAACAAAAATTGTATATATACAATATATATATATATATATATATATATATATATATATATACATATAATGTTATAAACCATGATGACAAGTATTGCAAGTATATATCATTTGGTATTAATAATCCATGCTGATTTTAATAAGAAAATAATTATACTTTACAGTAAATGCAATTTTTCACATACCGTGGAAACAATAGGTTTTATTGTTAGGAAAAAAAGGTAAAGAAAACAACGACAAAAACACATTTAACTTGTGCATATTTTTTATTTCTTTTTTTTTTTTGCCTGAGGTTAATTATGATGCTCACCTGTACTGCTCCTGCTGATAAAGGTCAGCCACGATGGCCAGCAGGCGGCTGATGAAGGAGTCACTGGCCTGGGAGGTGGAGCCGGGGAGAGAGGCCTGGGCCGCTAACACGGAGCACCGCCTCTCCGTCTCCACCAGCTTCTGCTGCATCTTCACATACTCCTGCCTCAGCAGAGCAAGGTGCTTCTGCAATTTCTGCACCTCCTCTGCGGGCATGATGTGAATGATGAAGAGATGAGGAGCAAGAAGTGGAGAGATGACAAGAAAGAGTGGAACACAGGGAATAAGCACATGGGGTACAAGGAGAGAATAAGGAAAAATGGACAAGAATAAACCATTAAAGTGAAAAGAAATGTGACGGGTAATGCAAAAGGAAAGTGGAAATGCCATGAAGAAGAAAGAGAGAGGGACAAAACACAGATTTCACATGAAAACTGCTGACACAGACAGACTTCCTAACCACGCTCAAGGGAGGAGAAGTGGACCACCGATATGTGAGCAGAACTGTCTTTCTGTACTTTGACAAGTAAAACACATTCAACATGGTCTAATTCATGAACAACAACCACAAGAGTTCATATACACTCTCAGAATCCATCTCATTCCACTCAAACTAGGGCTGCACGATTAATCGAATGCGATTGTCATGCGTAATAGTAATGTCGGTTCTGTAATCAGCAGGAAATCATCATCATGTGCTTTCAGATGGAACAGAATTTACTACACATAGCCGTGGTTCACTGACAAGTTACGCAAAAAAAATTTTTTTTTAAATTAAAAAAAATCGCAGACGATTTTATTGTGCGATTATGAAATCATATTTCTTACTTTATATATTATGCAACATATTTCATAGTATTTAAGCAGTGATAAAGGCATTGCATTATAAATATACTATATAGTAATGAAAATTATAATAATAAAAACTCAGATAAACCGTATATTGCCGTAGTCGTGTGTTTATTAGTCACGTTGAATCAATGAAAGCAGTTGAATCTTCAGTTAATTCAGCTGCAGCGGTTTCTTCTGTGAGGCATATTTGGAGTTTCAGCGCGAGAGCGCCCTCTGGCCTTTGGATGGAGATTTACTGCTGATCACAGAACCGTGCTTCACTGAAATACACGCATGACAATCGCAGCTTCTGTCGAATCGCGATCTCGATTCCATTTCGATTTATCGTGCAGCCCTAACTCAAACCACACAATAACAACTTTAAACTCGCCATCCTCAATGTGGTAATTACCCTGGATCTGTAACTAGAGTCACAGCTTAACCTAAATTCCAACACGGGCCGCTTCCTTCCTCTTTCCTTGATTTTATATCTGTCTCTCCAGAATGCTGAGGCTACACTTTGCCATTGCACCACATTAGCTCAGGTATTAGCTGGCCTAATAATGTGTTATCATTTGACATCTAGGAAAATCTTTGAATGTTGCTAAAAACAGTAAGCAGCACCTAGTAGTAATACACTATATGGAAGCTGTAATTTTTGTCAAAAGGAAAGTCTACCTAGTCATTGCAACCCATTAAGACTGTGTGTGGAGTAAACGAAGGATTAGCATGTTTTCAGATTAATATGTGAGCCATTTGCCTTTAGCCTAGCTTCCAGAATCCAGTGTCCTAAGCAATCAACAGCTCAAGAGCTGTCCAAATAGGTCCCATAAAGTATTTAAAAAGCTCATCAGTCAATCAGATGACAGGAAACCTTGTGAAGCAATAAGCTGCTTGCAATACCAACAAGCATTTACAAGACTTATACCTCATGAATTACACAATGAATTCAGATGAAGAATAAATCATTCTCGACTATTAGGATATTGTGCAATTAGCATACAATAAATTGTTCTAGTAATCTATATTCAGAAATAGATACACCCTTACAAAATCACCATAGCTTCAACAAATACTTGTCAATACGTGGTTGCTTTACAGCTGGTCTAGCCTGTTATAAGCACCCTCGTCTTTTAAAAATAAGATGACAGAAATATTGTGAAAGTGTTCTTAAGCTGTTTGAGGATGTCGTCATTTAAATGTCTTTTCATTTTACAGCATGTTGTGGAAAGATAAAGAAGGGAGATGTCATATATGAGCTGATCAAAGTAACGGTTGCAACGTCTCTCTGTACGCAATCAAGATGTGTGCAAATTATCCATATAAACAACATGACAGAACTATACGTATATTCATTTATTTTACTGTTATCGTATATCCATGTCATGCTATATATTCAAATACATCGAGTGCAATACATTGACATTTAATAGCCAGTTTGCATATCCAGGTGAATTTCTCATTTAAGATAACGAAGATGAGGATAAAAGACTGAAAGCGGAAATTCTGATTAGAAATGACTTGAAAATCAGAATACGTAACGACAATGTTTATAAAATCAACCATTTCCATTTCAAAATCATAACGCTGCATGTTCTGCGCTAAATGCAACTGAAGACATCTTTTGGAAAAGCATTTATCGGATATTTCTTTACGTAAGAGCTCAAATCACCCGGCAAATTATTACTACCACTGCCCAGCCCACCACCTGACTTGCAACCAGCTAACGTTAACAGTTAGCTGGAAAAATAACAATCTAAGCAATAATAATGTGGTTCATTTCAGGGCTACGCGATTTTTATTACCAACTGGCTGTGGTGATACCAATTAAATGCATTATTAGGCCAGCACATCGTGTAGAGATACAACCGCTGCATGTGTTAAACAGCAAGGGCGTGAAAAATAAGAAAGAAACCCTTCTCATACCTTCCGCCATGTTGGATCCGTGGCTGGTCGCCTAATACCGCGAGAGACCGCGGGAGGAAGGTTTTGATTTGGGAGGAGCGTGTGTGTGTGTGTGTGTGCCTGTGTACCTGTTTTTCTATTCTGGTGGGGACTTAAACCTGAATACACACAGACTCATGGGGACTCATGTCACGGTGGGGACCTAAACTGAGGTCCCCACGGGTAAACAAGCTAATAAATCACACAGAATTAAGTCTTTTGAAAATCTAAAAATGCAGAGCTTCCTGTGAGGGGTAGGTTTAGGTGTAGGGCAATAGAATATACGGTCTGCACAGTAGAAAAACCATTATGCCTATGGAGAGTCCCCACAAAGATAGCAAACCAGACATAAGTGTGTGTGTGTGTGTGTGTGTGTGTGTAAGCAACGACCCAAAGCTACATTACCTTTGTAAAGTGCATTATCAATGACAGATTAAGTAATGTACACGTTTGTGTGCCAAGTAAACCAATTATATGTGGGGTCTTTAATATGGCTCTTATTTAAGTTTCATTTTGACCAAAAGCCAACGTGTTCCTCATGATTGTTCCAGTCAGAGAAAATAGGGATAAGGAATTACATTTAGATAAATGCCCTCTTTGGCTCACATCCCCAAACCCTTTCTAAAAAATAAGGGTCTAGTCTGTCATACAAAAGTCTCAGTAGACCTACATGGCACTTATGCCTTTGAAGGAGCAACAGTTGCCACGCTCAAATGCATATTTTGTTAAACTTCAACTGTCTTTATGAGGCTAAGCAATATAATCCGTTGTCTGAACTAGTGTTGTTATTGTTAGCCAAAACTAAAACTATTAAAAACCATTTGGGATAATTAAGTTGAAATTAAATATTACAAAGACTTACAAGACAACACTTGTAATTTTGTTTGAAATCATTTGTGGTACTAAAATTACCGTAACAAATAAAAAGAAAGCTATACAAACAAAAGATGCGTTTTAAAAAACTACAGAACAGTCGACTTTTCAGCCAATGTTTATGTAAAATTGCCATGTTTTGAGAAGAATAGTCTTATTAAAAAGCACATACATTTGTAGTTATGCTGGAACTGATGAATGGACGAGTGTCATAAGACATTCAAGTTTGTGGCAACACTTTGAACTGAACAGACAGAACACGCAAACAAGTATTGGAAAAAAAATTATATTTTAGAAGAATTCACTAGAGGTGACAACTTCCATAACATGAAAAATATACATCAGTATTTTGTCTTTGTACATTAGGCAAAAGAACTGCAGTAGTCTGTCAGAGCCAGAATAAAATTAGCCAGAGAATTAAAGATTGTTGGAGGAGAGAGAGTGGGAGAGAGTGGGATACAGGTATGCGCGCACACACACACACCTCTGATCATTCACCCTTAAACACACACACACACACACACACCTCTGATCATTCGCCCTTAAACACACACACACACATCTGAAATCCCAGAAATCTACATTTAAAGCATGGCTAAGAAACCTATCAAAGAAACCACACAAAAGAGATGTCAAGCCGAGAGAGAAGAGAAGAACAAAAAAAATCTGCTCTGATACAAGGGAGAATCTTTACTAGAAATCGTGTATCAATATCCAATTTAATATGTCCGCATATAATGTGGGCAAAGCGGAGTTATTGCTACACCAAAATAATTCAGAATGCTGGTACAAGGGTTATGAAAATAAACCTCACATTCACACAAGTTTGAGAGGATGTTGAGCAGTTCTTAAACATGTTCCTCCCTTTAGCTCCTGTTTGATGCAGGGCACATAACAAGCCAAGCGATTTAAATTAGAGGCACTTCTGAAAACAAAAGAGAATTTAAAACATGCAGAAAAAAGAAAAATCACATCTGATGGGTTTCCTTGCCATTGCCTCCCCGCCTCAAATGGACAAAACAAGAGAACAGATGAGAACCTGACACTCAGAAAGCAGTCATCGTTTCAGCTGAAATAAGAGCACTTCCCTCCCCCCACCCCATTTAAAAACCAAACCAGTGAAATACCTTCATGACCCCCAATTAATAAGAAAATGCTTTACAGCTATTTTACCTGAAATGTCCCAATTAAGAAAGCCTTCCAACATGACGAGCAATGCTTTGGATCCTAACGATAGCGTACCCCTGCCTTCCTCACCCTAAAACTGGATCGAGTTTGAGTGAGAAATGCAAAAGTAGAAATTTTTTTAAACTGACAAGTGGGTATGTGAGGCCACTTGCACCTGTAACAGATCTAAAGCACACTAGATATGAGGCAGCAGAAGGGGGAGGGTGGGAGATGAACTATAGTCTTCAAAAACTTTACATGATGTCACACTCTAACTACAGAACTGCTATTTTATTTGGTACTAAGTCTTGCTGGATGGATAGGAACAAGTTATTATATATTATCCGGTTTTTATGTCTGTGCTATGTACACATCTTTACAATCTCTTCCTGAAAAGTTGTATCCGTTCATAGAATTAAAAAAAAAAAAAAAAAAAAAAAAAAAACAAAAAAAATTTTTTTTTTTTTTTTTTTTTTTGCAC